ATCGGTACTTTGGGGCCAAAGTATGTGCTATTCGGGTACATGGATCCTTTGGGCAAGCTCTGCCGAGGTTACATATGCCAGACCATGTAGACGGCCTTAGCGTGCAGACTGCGCAAACGCTTAGCGTTGGCATGAGTGTGTCTGTATAAACAACAAACGAATACATAATGTGAATACACAAACAAATCTGCATATACCGATATATATATATATATATATATACATACATACATAATTACGTATATAGTATTAGTATTTGTATTATTCTTCTTTTATACATATATATATATATATATACATATGTATATACAAAAAGATATTGCTGCTTGAGTGTGTGTGTGTGTGTCTGTGTGTGTGTGTGTCTTTGTTTAGTCGAGCCCAGGGCAACGATGCTTGCATGCGGATTTCGGATTCAAAGATCACCTCTCATGAGGTCGAACGCATACTTACATAGACAAGGCCTTTGTTACGCTCGAGTGCATGTTGGCTGATATTGTAGCAACAAGCAATCCCATGCATGCGCTGACCGTTTCTTCCACTAGGATCCGTAGCTTTTGATACTAGTACCGGAGCTGAAGCTGAAACTTGGTCACTCGCAAGTACTGTACGCATGTGCATTCCCTGTCCGGAGAGGAAGCTGCGCAAGCTGCACAGCATCTTGGCAACGGGAGATGAAAGTTGCAGAAGCCAGAAATGTGTGGACATAAAGAGTTGCAGAAGTTTTGGAATTCCAGGCAGCTGCGAGTACGATTACTGTAAGCTATAGAGGCGAGATTCGGAAGAACGAGAATCCGGCCCGGACATCTACAAGCCCTTGTATTTTGTTATCTGGCCCGGTTGGCATTTTAACATGTCCAAAACGGCCGCCTTCCTTTTGGGGTTGACTTATGCGCGAAGCAAGTCAAGAGCAGCGCCAAGGCTAGTATCTGCGATTGCCAAGGCTATGCTAGTTCAATCCTGATCGTCACCATCTTCACTGCTGTCGCCATCATGTTCCTGCTTTTCACCACTAACCGCCGCATCACTAGCATCAGTGGCTGGTCACCTTTTTGATCATGTTCATCATCGCCTTATCATCTTCGTCCTATCCTCCTGATGCATTGAGATTTGCATCCTAGTCCTGAGCAGCACGCAAGCCATTGCCTTCTCGTTAGCATCTCGTTCCTTAACATGCATATAGTTGTGGGCAGCGGATTAAAACCGGCTCACGAGTTAACGTCCATTCACAGAGGAATACATCTAGGGAGGACATGTGCACTGCAGCTCCTCCTCAAGAAAGGTAATTTTGGATGGCTTTTAGGCAGTTGCTTGATACGGGTTGTGGGATAGAGGCAACCGAGTTTGACCTTTCAACTCAAACCCTACAGATGTCCTAAAACCGAACTGCCCCAGCAGTATGCATGCTCAAGCTCCTGCATGAAGCTCAGATACCAAGCGTGATATGCTCAGGCAGCCGAAGCTGCGCAGCCAAAGCACACCATCCAGCGTCCCACGCTTGGCTCTCTTGCCGCCCAGCATGGGTTTAGGGTCTAATGCAGCGGTGAAGGGAGCATGCAGCCAAAATCTGACCTAGTCAGTGCTAACTCTAGTCGCCGTACCAACAGCACCACTATCGTCCTCGTATTGCCCTAGTGCCTAAACGTACTCCAACCATTCGCAAACCTTAATGCTATAGTATGTGCAAGCAGCCACAACCGGAACTGAAAGAAACATCAAGTTTAGCGAAACCCGAATAAAACTCTGCAGCCCTAACCGGTACAAGCCAGTGCATATCGGCGAAAGTCTATGCATTGAACACCGACTCGCAACTCGCACACGCCAAGGCTCCTCCTTTGGCATGGCAACATGGCAGAAATCAGCGGACCTCAGTAAGTGCAGCAAGTCTTCGGCAAATTGCAAGTCAGACCCGAGTCTGAGTTGAATCGCACATTGCTTGAAAGGTGGTGTGCTACATCGCATTTGCTGCTCTGCTACTATGCCGTGTTATGCCACCTGAGGTAACGCATTGGTACGAGATGTATCTGTAATCAAGAACCACGTTTATTGTTCCATGCAGTACTATATAGTACTATCCGCATCTAAATTATCCCCGGCTTTCTGCCGTGCTTGAAGGACTATGCCCGATGCTGTTGTGCTGGAAAAGTGGGGTACTACAGTGCACAGTTCTTATGCTGCTGCTAGTCACGTGTCAAGCTACTTCTTCATTCCCAATACAGAGACAGCAATTTTGCCAGGCATGCTCTTCTTCAGCTACATTTCGCCCATGGCAGTGTTTTGGACGGCCGAGCTGCCCACGCTGGGTCTGCAGGAGTGCCTCTTCGTAGCCATAGAAGCTTGGCTTCATTGTGCATCGTTGACACGCTGTGGTAGGGAGGTTCGCAAAGCTCTGCTACTGCGGCTTGAGACTCTAACGAGGTACGTGACTCTCTACAGAATTAAGTTACGGTTAAACTGCCACGATGCGGTGGCATCAGAAACGGGGGTAACTACTCACCTGTAGACCCTGTGCACAAGCTGATGGCTACGTTTCTGCGTAATCTAGACGCCGAGAAGCGCGAGAACAGCAACAGCAGCCCTACCAAGCATGACCACCACTACGACTGCACAGCAACAACTGCGGAACTCCCAGGCTACACAAGCACCGTCCGCCGCATCAGCTGCAACAGCAACAGCAGCATCGGCAGAACCATGGCCAATGACGGCAACGCCAGCACCGAAACAGCATGATCGTTCGGGACAGCAGCAAAAGCACAGGTGACTGCACAAACGAGTTGCTTCATGCTGCTGGCCATGGCGGTGAGAATGAATGGTGCTGACTGCCATGCGGGTGATGACATTGGGCATGACATCGAGGGTCGTGATGTTGCTGCCTTCGATTCCGAGACCCATTGTGAGGGCGATACCCAACCGGATTATTGTGTTGTAGCTCATGACGGTGCGCGCGACTTTGACTATGACTGTGCTGCCGTTGCTGCTGGTGGTGGCGGTGGCGATGGTGGTGATGATTGCACATGAAGAGAATGATGATGGGGATGTTGGCGACTCCGAGTACGAGTATGACTGTGTGAGCTTCGCACAGGGTCACATCAGATACTGGCTTTCTTTAGGCCGCTCTCAGTAACGTGACTGGAAGGCTACAAAAGATCTCGGCGTCTCGCAGAGGTTACGTGGCATTTCTGATGTGCCAACGCATTAGGAGGCCCGAGGCGTCATAAACATTAAAACGGACACCTCGTCCACTGGCTTGTCCCTAAGTGGTATTCCCTAAACCAAGAGTAACTGTCGGAAAACCCCTTAGTCGCGAGGCCATTACCTCCATCGCGGTATCGGCCTTCTACCTTTTCCTCCTGCTTGGCTGGTGCGCGTGTTTTCGGGGTTTGTCTTAGTCCTGAGTAGATGCTTGAGGGAGAGAAATCACAAAACACATAAGAATAGCTTCGTGAAGGTATCCCCCTCATAATTATTAACAATGTCGTTGACAGCTGTTCCAGACTTCTAGGTTCTAAATCCTAACCTCAGCCCAGTGCTCGCAGAAGGCAGCTGGCGATTCAAGTGTTGGCGGGTGAAGTCGGTGATTTAATTTGCGTTGCTTTTAGCGTAGCAGTGGCGATCATTGCAGCGAGAGGCAGTGCCAGTATGACTCTTTGGGGAACATCAAAACAACCACTGCCACCGTCACGACAATCAATGCTCTTTGATTGCTATCGCGAACATCACGGTAAGTTGCATGTCATGAAGATCATGGCTTTCCGTGGTATGACTCGTACCAGCACTGTCGTAGTTGGGAGGAGGGGAAAAAATTATGAAAAGGTTGTTTCTAGGGTTCCCCCCCCACCCCCTATATAGGCCCCTATACTGTTTTTTAACTTGTCTATCTTATTCGTTATCGTTTTTGTTGTATCCTTATAGAAAATCTTTATGTAGTTTTGGGGTAACTTTTGAATTATTATTATTACATACAACTTATGAAGGTTTATTATCATAAGGTTTTGTCTAAGTTTTATCTCTTACCCTATCCCGATATTTTATGCTATCTTACATCATAATCTTAGGCATTAGTTTCCTTCCTTAGTCGGTTTAAGTCGGGGTATTATGTATAATATTATGTCTAGGTTTTCTGCGGTGGCTTTTGTCAACATTTATAATAATATTCTATAGTAATATTATTATGAATGCATAATTGTATACAAGTTTGCTAGACCCTTAGGTTCTGTTTCTTTAAGATATTTTTGATGCTTTTTAGTTTGCATGTGTCTTGAAGAACCACATCTATTAAACTGACAATTACAATGAATACAATAAACTTTTTCCTTCTGTTTGCTCAAGATATCTTCCTTATTATTTTGGTAGTATTGTTTTTTCCTTTCATTTATTGCTTCCTTGTTGAGTTCTCTGTATTGTTTACTCTGAAGAACAATTTGTTCACGATTCTCTTGTTTATATTTTATTGTCCTTGCTATTTCTTTATCATGGTTATTATGGTAATATTCTTTTGCTTTCTGTCTCAAGTGTTCCCTGTTCTTCTCTCTATATATGGCTTTCTCTTCTAAACATTCATTACATAACTTTCGCTCTGGTTTAAAATGTTCTTCTCCTTTTTCCTTTTTACACTTAGAACACGTTTTAATAGATGATTTACTGTCAGAGTTCTCCATATAACTTTATGGGGCTATGTCTTTATATAGTTTTATAAGCTCATTAAACGTTTATTTCTTTGCTTCTTGACGGTCATCACAAAAAATCTGCAAACCCTAACCCCTAACATCTACCAGATTTTACCCTAACATCTACCAGATTTTACCCTAACATCTACCAGATTTTACCCTAACATCTACCAGATTTTACCCTAACATCTACCAGCCCTGCCCCCTAACATCTAACAACTAACATTTACCAGCCGTCAGCCCTAACATCTGCCAGCCGTCAGCCCTAACATCTGCCAGCCGTCAGCCCGCCCCATACTTAAAGGGTAGCCACCTTAAAGGGTATGGAGAGCCCTAGCCCAGAACAGAAAATATACTTAAAGACATTTTACCATTATAATAATATAATGTTTTTATCAACATTAGAACAAGAAGAAATTATTAATAAATTCTTAAATGTTATTGAAATGAAAACAGTTATTAATCATAAAGTTGGTATATGTAAAAACTGTAAGTTTAATCAACAGAACTTGAGCTTATATAAATTAAATATACCTAGTAATATTGTTAAAGATATTTGTAAATATAATTATAAAGAATGTGAAGTATGTAAAACTTTAAAAGAGTTTAAAGAAAATGTTTATGATTACAGTATGGAAGATTTTGAAAATGTGGTTAAAGCAGTTGAAGATAAACAACAATATAGTTTAAACAATTACACAGAACATAAAATAGATAATCAAATATATTATTATATTAAACTAAATCCATTTCCTACATTTGATGAGACATTACGTTATACCAAAAGTGTAATACCAGAATGCAAATTTTATAATATTGATTTCTATAATGAGGTTAAATTATTATATTATAATTCATTTAATGTTGATAAAAAAGTAAAAGAATTTTACAGCAAACAACGAAATAAATTTATAAATGATTATTATGAAAATGTAGATAAAAATAATGATACAAGGAGTAAATTTATTAATTATATAAAAAGTCAAATAGATAAAGTTGAAAGTGCAATTAAAGAGATTTTATCATACATAGACAATAATGAAAAATTTAGTAAACTAAAATTTAAATTGTATTCAAATGAAGCTTTTAAATTTATTAATATGCGAATAGGAGAAAATGATTTTGACGATGATTACACATTTGAACGTTTTATAGATGCTAAATATCCTTATATACCTAAAGAGCAATATATGAAAAAATACGAAAAACAAAAACAATTACGAAAGGAAATGGAAAAAGATTTTATGAATAGAGTAGATGACTTTTTAACATAAGACAATAACTATCATATTATATTATAATATGAATGTTAACCGCCAGCCCAGCCGGCACCCCCTAGGCTTAAAGGGTAGCCACCTTAAAGGGTATGGAGAACCCCAGCCCCACCACGGGTATAAAAAACTACTTAAAAGAAAATCTATATTATAATAATATGGATATTAATAGACAAAAATCTGTAATGAAATATGTTTTAAATAGTGATGTAGGTAAAATTAAAACAAATAAAGACGGTAAACAATTAAAAAAAGTTATTATAGATGATAAAGAATACCCATATAATCCATCAAAACCTTTTTCAGGAACACTCATAAATAAACTAGAACAAGTAGAAAAAACACAAGGTTACAAACGTTTTAATATACTTGATAAAGCATCTAAGGGAATAGCCATAAGAAAAGCTTTAAAACGATATTCTATATCAACATTCGGCACAAGAACTAACGTATTTACAGCTTTAAAAGCTTATGCTAACACATATGCCATAACAAACATTCAAAAATTAGGATATGCAGGATTAACTCACATATATTATCAAAAACCTAGATTAAGAGAATATTTAAATAAAAACAAAAGTATGAAACTATTAGTTGATGTATCCGTTCAGTTTAAGCATTTAGAAGATGAAGATAAAGATTTTGTTGCTAGTATTCGTTCACGCCGTTATAATATATTAAATGAAGAAGACTTAAACAATGCAATAAATAATATGGCATCTGATATAGAAATAAGCGTAGAAAACAAGAATTTTTATAGGTCTGATTTAAAGCTTCATAAAATAAACAAAATAACATTTCATTATGATAAATATGATCCGACAAGAGCGGGTAAATTTATTGAATTACCTAGATGGATTTCTTTAAAGAAGGCTTGTATTAACATTCAAAACAATGATGAATTTTGTTTCAAATATTGTGTTTTATGTAAATTTTTTGAAGTATATAAAAAAGACCATCCTTGTAGAATATGTAAATATAAACCTTTTGAAAATGATAGCATAATTAAATGGGAAGGTGTTAATTTTCCAGCTTCAAATGAAGATATTGATTATTTTGAAGAAATAAATAAACAGAAAATTTCAATAAATGTTTATATAGTAGATAATCAAAAAATACGAGTAGACAGAGTTACAAAAATAACCGAACCAATATGTCATGTTAACCTTCTTCGTCTTGATGATGATGAGGGAAGCCATTATGTTTTTATTAAAGACTATTCTAGACTTTTAGGAGGACAAACAAATAAAAAAACAAATAAACAATTTTATTGTCATTATTGTCAAAAAGGATTTACGAAAGAAAACTTATTGCATACTCATCTTACTAAAGGTTGTATGGCTAACGAAGTTCAAAAAACAGAGATGCCCGAAAATAATGAAAAAATGTTCTTCAAAAACCATTATAAAAAGTTGAGATGTCCATATGTTATTTATGGTGATTTTGAGTGTTTAACAACCTTATCAAATGAAGGATTAAAAGGGGCATACCAAAATCATAAACCATCAGGATTTATGTTAAATGTTGTTAATTCTATCACAGATGAAGTTAAGCCTTATTTA